GCCCTTCACTGAGCAAGACCCATATGCTCCCTCAGAGGCCAGTACAGTTCATTTAAATGAAAGCATGCTACATGTGAAAAGAATGCTACACATGTACATATATACAGCATTAACATATATACACACATATATACAGCATTAATATACAGTGATCAGAAAAAGGTGTTGAACCAGCTGTGTTCTGCCACTGGACTATATCTCCAACCCTTTTGATTTTGAGACAGGGTCTTTCTAAGTTGCCCAAGCTGATCTTGAACTTGGAATCCTCCTGTCTTAGCCTAACAAGTTGCTGGGATCACAAGTGAGCACCACCATGCCAGCTCAAAAGCTATTGAAGAGCAAAAAGCAGCTCGACATGAAAATTTACATAGTTCATTTCCCTACTGGAAGTGGTTCATTGTCAAAAAAAAAAAAAAAAGTCACACCCCAAACTTTGGCAGAACCGTGCCATTGCTATCCTGTAATCCTCTGTTACTATCAAACAAAACTGAGATTTGAGATGAAAAAACTTGGTGTTTTTAAAAGGAGCATGAGAGGTAAGGAAGCTAGACTTTGAAGGTACTTCTCCTGGTTGTGCCAACACAGTTCATAGGGGTAGAAGGATGTGTGTGTGAATGTACTAACCTGTCACCAATGATCAGCTCAGACATGTTTGTGGGAAGAAAGTTTGCTCTTGGTTGTTGTTGGCATTTATTTTAATGTTCACATTTCAGCTTGCTCTGTCGCCATCCCCACGGAACCCTGCAGAACCTATTGCTGTCCAGAATAATCAACAGCTGGCACTAAAGGTAGAAGGAGTGGTTCAGCATGGATCTAAACCAGGACTCTTCCGCAAAATTCAGTCTGTCTGTCTGAATGTTTCTTCCACACTACAAAGTAAATCTGGTCAAGACTACAAGGTAATTTAGAAAAGAGGCAGAATTGTGATGCAAATTTTACCAACTCACTAATGAAAATTTTTCATGGCCAAGTAGATTGCAGTTACAGCTCCAAAGGAATCAGATGAATATAAAAGCATATATTGGGGGTTTGAGGAGACTGTTAACCAGTGCTTTTCTTTTACCTGTCTGAGCCAGTTAATAACGAGAGAAAGCATCCAAGCAGGCAGAGATCAAAATATGAGTTTGATTACTGTTAGAGCTGTGGGAAAACCTGAATCAGGTGCCGGGCAGTGATTTTTCAATCTTATACCTCTGGGTAAATTATCCCACCTAGCCTCAACCTGAGTCCCTATACCCCATTCCTGCCCCTCACTGAGCAAGAACCCATATGCTCCCTCAGAGGCAGTACAGTTCATCTAAATGAAAGCATGCTACATGTGAAAGAATGCTACACGTGTACATATATACAGCATTAGCATACAGTGATCAGAAAAAGTCAAGTCTTTTTTTTTAAGGGTGTTTGCTACCTTCAGAAGTCACAAGGTAGGTAAGTATTAAACAAAACCAGGTTTATATTGCTGGTGAGAGCTAGGATGTTGAATGTGTGCCTGCTAATTATCAGTGTTCCTTCTTTTGGTACCAGGGATTAAACCCAGAGTGGCTCTACCTCTGAGCTGCATCCTTAGCCCTTTTTTTGCTTTTTGAGACAGGATCTCAGTAAGTTCCATAGGCTGGCCTTGAACTTTCAGTCTCCTGCCTTAGCCTCCTGAGTAACTAGAATTATAGGCTGGTGCTACCATACCCAGCAGTGTTCCCTTTTAAGACATCTCTTTCCTTTTCCTTAATGATTCATCCATAAGGGTAAAGAGTAAGTTGGTCAAGGGAACAAATCTACTGTAGTTGTACTAGCAAAGTTGCCCAGATTAGTTGTATCCAGGTTTATTGTAGCATGTTTGAACTAAGATCCTCATGGCAAGGAAGAGAGGGGTATCAGTGACGATATTTTAAAAAGAGCATTTCATTTTCTTAGGTAGTTTGTGACTAAAAAATGAAGTCAAGGATTGGTTTAAGCCATTATTACTTTCTTTGGTACCTCTTACTCTGACACTCTGTCTACTCCTGTAAGGCTCATCCTTCCTATCTTTTCCTCTCTTTTGATTCATGACCCAAAGTACAGTGCCTTAAGTCACCAGTAAGTAAATATTTAAATATTTGGTGAATGATTAAAAAAAAAAATTCTTTACTCTGTAGACTGTATTTAGAGTACAGCTGTTACAGCTGAGTAATCTTAACTGTCACAGAAGATTGTAGTGAGAGTTTACATAGTTTATGGTAGTCTGGAGGTCTGCCCTCACTTTGGATTTGAAACAAGTAACTAACTACAAATCACTTTTTTGCTTATGTATAATAATTTTCTCTATTATTGACTTAGCTCACAAGAAGCATTGTTTAAAGTCAGCATAAAGCTGTGTTAGTTCATGATTACCTTTCAGTTTTAATTGCAATTAAAATGATTCCAACTTGAAATGCAGTCATCCATTAAGATTGATCAGATTGGGGCTGGGGTTGTGGCTCAGTGGTAGACCACTTGCCTAGCATGTGTGAGGCACTGGGTTCGATTCTCAGCACTGCATATAAACAAATACATAAATAAAGGTCCATCAATAACTAATAAAAATTTAAAAAAAAAAAAAAAAAGATTGATCAGATCTCCTAGGCCTATTTCTGGTGCTTTTAAGGAAGTTCTTTGGTGGGCCTGTTACTTTAGGAAAATAAAAACCCTACAAAAGCCAGTCATGGTGGCATATGCCTGTATATGTATTGTCCCTACCTAAATATAAGGATGCTAGGAAATTTAGGGTAGAAAACGGGCCTTTGATGAGAGATTGTTTTCAGTTATAGTACTCTGTCATTCTAATATTCTATCAAAAAAGGAACAAGATTGCCTATTTTCTTATTCTCATATTTGAAATAGAATTGACAGGTATGTTTCATATAGTCAGCAGTTGGCACAGTGACTCAGGAGGGTGAGACAAAAGTATCATATGTTTAAGGATAGCCCCAGCAACTTAGTGAGACCTTGTCTCAAAATAAAAAAAGGTTGGGGTCTCACCCATGTCCCTCGTGGACGATGGAATTTGGGTTTCCTCTGCATGATGTGGACTGGCTACAAAATAAAGCTAAGAAAAGAAGTCAGCGAAAAAACAACACTGCGCAGAAAGTAAATTTTAGAAAGTGAAAGCAGAAGGCTCTTCGACTTTAGGGATGGAACTTCCACACTGGGAAGAGGGAGAGAGAGAGAGCCTACATTTGCTTTACTACATGGGAAAAACTTCAAAGGTTTTCCATAGAATGTTCTTCACCAAATTAAGTAGGAGGTGGGCTGTCTAGTTTCCAAGGGGTTATGCCCAACTCCAGAGCTATGAGCTATGAGATCGGAGCAAAAACAGAGGTCAGTGCATTGTGTAATCCATCCAGTGGGAGAAGCCACAAAACAGATTGCAATGCCAAACCTAAATCTCCTTGGCTCAAGGCCAAGTGAAGATGCTCAAATAGCTCAGAGGTGGCTCTCCACGTTGGTGATGTAGCTTATACAGGGAAATGTCTCTGAATGACCTCATGATAACTGCTCATTGAGACACTTTTTTTTTTCAAGGTACTGAGACAGATAATTGCACTATAGAAACACAGAGCAATCTGTTCAAATAACCATTAATATTACTTTTATGTTCTCAGAATAAATCTGCCTCTTAATAGGCTTTATCTTGGTATAGGTGAGGATCCACTAACAGATATCCTATTTGGAGGACAAAGGCATGAATGTCTAGCTAAGTAAATCAATGTTATAAATCTACGATAATACATAATGTTACTAGTCTGTATTAGTTATTCTGCCAATATATATTGTACTACTAGTCTGAATAGGACACCCATTAGATGAGCATTGTGCAAGTTCTAAAGTTAATTTACTCCTTTAAGAGTAAAGAATGACTGAATTCCTTTTGTAATATTAAATCAGACTAAGGGAGGAAAATACTTAAATTAACTTGGTGTTATATTCTTATTTAGTCTCTTAAATTTCAAATTCCCTGAAATAAGTGGCCGTATCCTGTTTCTTCCAAATATCTTTCTACAGACTAAAGAAAGGTGGGGATTTAGAGAATTGGGTGGAGAGAGCACAGAAGAGAAGCCAGCACATTAGGGGGTTTAAGAGTCTCTGGGAGCTCATTCTACTCAATGAGAGTAGGAAGCATTGTCACCTGATAGTTGTGAGGGTAGGCTCTGGAGTTGGCCTGCCTGAGTTCACACTCAGCTCTGCTACTCACTAACATTCTTTGGAGAACCTACTTGACCTCTTTGCATCAACCCCACAGCTGAAAAGCAAGAATAATATTAGTACCTACCTTTTGGTTGTTTGCAAGGTACCAACCACTTAGAATAGGGTGTGGCTTAGAATGAGCACTGAATAAATGTATCTGTTGTCATTATTTAACAATTCTTTCATTCCAGATACCCATTGATAATATGACCAATGAGATGGAACAGCGGGTTGAGCCTCATAATGATTACTTCAGTACTCAGTTTTTGTTGAACTTTGCTATCCTGGGAACACACAACATTACAGTGGAATCCTCAGTGAAAGATGCTAATGGTATCGTATGGAAGACTGGCCCCAGAACTACCATATTTGTCAAATCTCTAGAAGACCCTTATTCTCAGCAAATTCGCCTACAACAGCAACAAGCCCAGCAGCCGTTACAACAGCAGCAACAACGAAATGCCTACACTCGGTTTTAACCATGCACGTGCACTACAGCCTTCAAGGGATTGATCAAATTGACAGAAGTAGTTGCTTTTTCATATGTATTAAGTATGAAACTTAAATGTGAAATCCATTTATTCGTTGATTTCTCTAATGTAACGTTCTGGAGGAAAACATCTCTTCCTGTAAAAGTTTAGTTTGAGAAATGATTGGGTTCCTGGCCAGAAAGTTGTTGTTGTTGTTTTCCCTTTTCCTTTTTAAACCAAGTCCTTTTATCTAACATATTTAACATTTTTATTGTTTTACTATTTTTTCTGTTACTGAGCTGCTGCTTCTTTCCGGAATAGTCACATATTTTGCTTGCTTCGATGGCACATATGCTAAAATTGGAACAATACAGAGAAGATTAGCATGGCCCCTGCACAAAGATGATATGCAAATTCATGAAACATTCCATGATTAAAAAAAAAACAGTCACATATTCGATCATAGAGTTAGTAAATTTGACTGCTTCTCTACTGTAATACATCATTTGCTGCCTGATATGGACCTGGAACTTGAGCTAAGCATAGGAAGCTCTAACCATTCGGTGCAGGGTTTATCCACGCAGTGGGAACTGAGTCCTTCTATAAATGAACTGAAAAGTGGTTCCACAATATCCTGCCTTCTGGACTCTGAGAACCTGCAATCTAGCAGAACTGAATAATGCTGCTGCATTATTTCAGCTACTTACCTATCTCTTTTTTGTGCTAAAGCAGTTTTAATTTATTGTTTTGATATATTAGTTGAGCAGCTAGCAATTACATAGAAACATTGGAGATTAATAATTTGTTATTTTTTCTAATATAGCCTGTGAATGTGTTTAATATAGGCTTTTTACATTGTTTCTATAAGTGAAAACATCACTCATTTAATATCTTAATGTTTCAAGTTAATAGGGGCAGATCTCCTTTGATTGGTTTGGTTTCTCTGTGATGAGTCATGTAATATTATACTGGATTGTCTAGAAAAAAACTGTCTCTTTATAATACAACTTCAATTAGTTGGGATGCTCAGGGAATAGAGTTTTCTGGTTAGCCAGAAAAGCCCTTTTTTTCTATTTCAACAGTGGTTGAAAACAACAAAATAGTATACTTTTTTTTTGTCTTAACCCAGATTACAAGGTGTAATTGAACTGTTTCTTGATTTGAGATCATTTAGTGCTTTGGGATCATGATTTCTAAACATCAGGGATGATCATAGGATTGCAGGTATTGCTAGCTAATTGGTCTGGATGCAGCTCCTAAGATGAAGCAGGACACGTTTCCTGGAATTGTCCTTTTTGAATAAATTTCTCAATTTCTTTGCTTGTGTTTTGCCCTTTCTCTTCAAAGTTACATTGATTCAAAAGAGGGTTAGAGTTTATGCTTTAAAAAAAAAAAATTAGGAGTTTTAATTTTTTATTTTTTTGTTTGTTTTATGGCCTCTGGGAGTGAGAAGTAATTACCAACTCAGGTCCCCCCAAGATCATTTGGCTTCATGAGCCATTGCCCCCTCATAATACATTCTACTGCCAACACAGACATCATCATAGTATATACAGGTCTACAGTGTCCACTATAAATGACATCCCTTTAGAAACCATCCACACGTACGCAGTGCAGAATTTGCACAGCTGTGTCAGTGTTTGAGAGCAATGCCTAGGGGAAATATAAGAGTTGTGTGGAAGATGTGCAAACCCCTCATCCTTCTACCAGGTGTGGAAAGAGCTGAGTCAGACTCTGAATTAGTCTGTGACCTAGAGCAAGTCATTTTATCTCTCTAGACCTTAGTTTCTTTGCAGAATTACTGAATTCAGGCTAGATTTCACTGGTCAAGGTAGCACACACCTGTAATCCCAGCGGTTCTGGAGGCTGAGGCAGGAGGATTGAGAGTTCAAAGCCAGCCTCAGCAATGGCAAGGTACTAAGCAACTCAGTGAGACCCTGTCTCTAAATAAAATAAAAATAGGGCTG